CAAAGCACCATTGCTGTTCTTATCAATGGTTTATCTAAACTGATTGTGAGCAGAGTTAGGAGGATCAGCAGAAGGTATTGTTGGTAGATGTGACCCTATGAATTGTAGAGCCATTGATACATTTGAGAGGTAGTTTATTCTGAAAAGATAGGGCTTTAGCATACAGACATTTCCCTCTTGACACAGAACTACATAATTTTCAAATTAAGATGAGAAAAAAACCAGGAAATTCTCAGTTATAATGCAGCTACTTTGCTTAAGGCTTCTGTCTTTTTCAACAAAGGTAGAATATTTCTGTTTACCACTTTAAATATCAGAAGGAAATATGTTTATTCACTCTCAAGTCTGTTTCATCTGTCCTTGCTTTTGTGGCTTTAGGCATCTCTTTCAGGACTTCCTTAGTGTTTTTCTCATAGAATCTAAGCATATTGGGCATCAGTCCATGAATATGCCGTGGTTATTTTCTGCAGTAATACAAAGCGGTACATGCACAAACACTTGGCGTCCTGTGCAAGTCAGCTTCTGCTTCTCGCGCACCCAGTACACAAAGTGATTTCTATTGCAGATTCTGGAATAGAAACTGATAACATAGCTGTTTATATTGAGGCTTTCATCCTTTTTGTTGCTGTGTGATCTGCTGGAAACTACTGACAATACTGACAATATCATGTATGGTGTTGCATGGATCTGCAACAGCTGCCCTGCATATCTATGTGTAGGAAAATACTCTGTTGGGCATTGACTTAGAATTAGTAACACCTTTTTTAATGGTTGTAAGTCAAATTTTGGCAGGACTCCATTGCTTGTGCTGATGATACAAAGATGGAAGAAAACTGAATATTGAACGTAAAGCATGTAAAACAAACTTGCCATGACTTCTTCTGTTTTGCAAGGGAGAGAGATGATCTTAGTATGATAATGCTATCTTTTCTATCCTTTTGACCCAGTTTGTGGGTCTGGGGTTTTAGGAAGGAAAACTATAAGGTCTGGTTTCTGAGTAAAGTGATGGAATAGAGTATTTCAGTTGGAAGGGACCTACAATGATTGTCCAGTCCAACTGCCTGGCCACTTCAGGCCTGACCAAAAGTTAAAGAGTGTTATTATGAGCACTGTCCAAGTGCCTCTTAAACACTGACAGCCATGGGGCATCGACCATCTCTAGGAAGCCTGTTCCAGTGTTTGAACACCCTCTTGATAAAGAAATGCTTCCTAATGTCCAGTCAGAACCTCCCCTAATGCAGCTTTGAACCGTTCCCATGCGTCCTGTCCTTGGATGCCAGGGAGAAGAGATCAGCACCTCCCTCTCCACATCCCCTCCTCAGGAAGCTGTAGAGAGCCATGAGGCTGCCCCTCAGTCTCCTTTTCTCCAACTAGAGAAACCCAGAGTCCTCAGCCACTCCTCACAGGACATCTTTTCCAGCCCTGTCACCAGCTTTCTTGCCCCCCTCTGGACACATTCGAGGACCTTCACTTCTTTTTTAAATTGAGGGGCCCAGAACTGGTGAGGCCACACCAATGCTGAATGCAGCGGGATAATCCCATCTCTTGACCCGCTGGTCATGCTGTTTGATGCATCCCAGGATGTGGTTTGCCCGCTTGGCTGCCAGGACACACTGCTGGCTCCTGTTGAGCTTGCGGCCGACCAGCACCCTCAGAACCCTTTCTGCAGGGCTGCTCTCCAGCCATTCCTCTCCCAGTTTATACTTGTCTGGCATTATTCCTTCCCAGGGCAGAATCCGGCATTTGTTCTTGTTACATTTCATGCTACTGATGATTGCCCAATACTCCAATCTGCTTATATCCCTCTGCAAGGCCTTTTGTCCCTTGAGAGAGTCAGCAGCACCTGCCAGTTTGGTATCATCCACAAACTTGCTAATGGTGCATTAAACTCCTTGTTGTGGTTGAACCCCAGCCAGCAACTAAGTACCACGCAGCCGCTCGCTCACTCCCCCATGGTGGGACAATGGAGAGAATTGGAAGAATAAAAGTGAAAAACAGTTTAATAGGTAAAGCAAAAGCAGCACGCACAAGCAGAGCAAAACGAGGAATTCATTCACTACTTCCCATTGGGAGGAAGGTGTTCAGCCACCTCCAGGAAGGCAGGGATCCATCATGCGTAATGGTTTCTTGGCAAGACAGATGCCATAACTCTGAATGTCCCTCCAACCTCTCCTCCTTCTTTGCCCCAGCCTTATATACTGAGCATGACGTCATATGGTATGGAATATTCCTTTGGCCAGCCTGGGTCAGCTGTCCTGACTGTGTCCCCTCCCAGCTTCCCATGCACCTCCAGCCTCCTCGCTGGCAGGCCAGCATGAGAAGCTGGACTGTCCTTGACTGCTCAGCAACAACTCAAAACATCAGCACTTTATCAACATTTTCTCATTCCAAATCTAAAATATAGCCTCACACTAGCTTCTGTGAAGAAAATTAACTCCATCCCAGCTGAAACCAGGAATCTCCTGCACCCAGGTCATTGATAAAAGTGTTGAACAGCACTGGCCTTAGGATTGAGCCCTGAGCAACAGATGTAGCCCCATTCACTACACCGCTTTGAGCCCTGCTGTCAGCCAGTTTATCACCCAGTGCACCATGAAGCCACTTATCTTGCAGTTGGACAACTTGTCTGGAAGGATGCTGAGGGATAGTATCAAAAGCCTTACTAAAATCCAGAAAAACTACCACTATTGCCTTGCCTTCATCCACTAGGTTGATGATCTTGTCGTAGAAGGAGATTAAATCAGTTAAACAGGACTTTCCCTTTGTGAACCCATGTTGACTGTGGCTGATGATTGAATTGTCCTTTAAATGTCTTTTAATAGCACCCTATGTGATTTGCATAATTTTTCCAGGTACTGAGGTTAGACTAACAGGTCTGTAGTTCCCTGAGTCTTCCCTCATGCCCTTCTTGTAAATTGGAGTAACGTTGGCCAGGTTCTAGTCAGTGGGGAGCTCCCCAGACTCCTAAGATATTTGGTGGGTGATTGAGAGGGGTCCTGCTATAACATCTGCAAAGATGTTACAGATGGCATTGCTACTGCTTTGTATATGATAGGTACACAGTGTTTGTCGGAATATTGAGTGAGCCTCTTAAAGAAACGTGGAACACCCTTGAAGTTCAGCACAGGCTATTTCTTGTAGTATTTTTCTCTTTTACTTTTTTTTTTTTTAAACTGGGGAGTAATGTGTTAAATTTGCAGCTAAAAGTACAGCTGTTCCACTTCATCAGTTTATAATGATTGATAGAAATGTGAGGTGTCTTATAGGTTAAGACTGGAAGAAATTTTCTTATAGTCTTACTTCACATGTGTTACAAGGCAAATTGACTTAAGTTTTGTGTGAAGTAATAAATTAAAAATAAACCTAATAGATATCTTTATTTACTTGGGACAGAGTAGTAAGCTGCACTTTATTGCTGGTTTGAATTTGTCTGCCCTTAGTGATTCTTGCCACCTAGTTTAAGAGGATGTGCTAGTGAGAGGTCCTGTCTGTGTAGTTACTTATCTCCCCTCTTTTTCATCAGATTCTTAAATATCGTGCAAAAAAGGCATATGTTCCAAAGTCAGCATTATTCTAATAGTTCTTTTTGACAACCTTTTTTCATATAAACTTTATAAGAGAATCATAACAAGATGATTACATCACTAATACTGTACATATAAACAAATTCATTTTGTTATTCTTATGTGATAGTCCTCCCTTTATGTCACATTCTACTGCCAAAGTAGCGCAAATATAATATTAAGAAAAGTGCAGGCCCAGTGAAATCAAAAAGGTGTTCAGTCCACGTTCCACTATATTGCTGAAATTTGTTGAATTGAAGGAAGGATGTTATGAAAGGTACATCTACAGGGCAGTTTATGCTTAAGCAGTAATGAAGTTCCAGAATTCATCAGGAGACTTGCTTCATATTCTTTCTCTCTCCCCACCTCTCTGTGGAGTTTGAGCTTTTGAATCTGGGTGGAGGAGTGGGGAAGAAGAGTGTATGAGTGGTCTCTAATAGCCCTTTTGATAAGGATTTCTGGTAAAGCAGAGAGCTGTCTGTCTCCTGTTAGTGCCCTGTTACCCTCAGTGGTCTTGTAGTTATTACAAAACTCTGTATTGACTGTCCAGCTTAAGGTGTTTCTTAACCGATTAGGAGTTTCTTGCCATTCATCTGACATATTTGAGTATATTTGTGTAGTATGTAAGTTCTGTAGATGAAAGATTGGAATGTGACTGTGTTTTGACATTTAATAGCCCTAGTTGTTCGGACATGGAATGAGACTTGTAACCCGTGTTCCTGTTGTTTCTTGCCATGTGATTTCATATGGCTTTAATATTTGTCCTTTGTGATGAAAAAAAGATGATGTCTCAGAACAGTGATTTAGAATTGTGGTATGGTTTATATTGTCACACTTGTACATAAGGTAATGAAAAATCTAGTGAGTAGATACTTCTGGATAATCTCATGCCATCCAAAATATTTGCATTTGGTTCAGGGAGTACAGTACTGTACAAGGCAACACAACATTTCTGATTTAGAGTGGATTTCACAAACAAACTTTCCCGACTGAAGGATTTAATTCTGTGAATGTCAGTTAACCATACTGATTCAGGCTGTCTTGTTGAAGTGCTAAGTAAGAATGTCTAAATACTTGAAAAACTACTGATGTGAAGGAGTTTGCATTGGGTCATCAGTTGTATTTTGGGATGCACAATTTTCACATTTTTAATTTTGTATGGGGAAATGCAGCATTTGGAGCCGGGGTGTGTGTTTGGGGATAAATCATTTAGTTAGTGATTGCTATGAATTTGATTCCCATTTCTTTTGTAATGTTTGATGGCTGTGTAGAGTGATGTTCTCAAGTGTTGTCATTACAATACTTATACTGATTTTTCTGACTAAAGCTGCTGTCTCCTTATCTGTAAGGATTGTAGGAATCTCTTTTTTTCTATTCGGTGTCTGGAAAGAGCTGAAATGCCTTATACAAATTTTTTTTTTTTCTTATCAGATCTTTGTGGAATTTGATGGCTGTAACTGGAAGCAACATGCCTGGGTGAAAGTCCATGCTGAAGAAGTTATAGTGTTGTTACTGGAAGGATCATTGGTTTGGGCACCTCGAAATGATCCAGTTATGCTTCAGGGGACTCGAGTCTCATTGGCACAGTGGCCTGCACTGGTGAGTATTTGGCCAAAAGCTGTCATATCCTCAGAGCTTTGCATCAACTCTACCATGAAACACAAAGCTTGGAAATCATATAGGGCATCATTATGCAGGTACCAAAAATTGCTTCAGTGTGGATTTTTGTAAATGGCAAATAGGAGACCAGTTAACTGGGAGCTAACTTTGGAAAGGCATCTGAGCAGCAGTATGCTTCCAGTTCTTGCATAAGAAATTGAAACCTGTTACCTCACAGAAATGAGGTATTGTTTACCAGTGGGTCTCTGAAGAAATGTGGTACATATCTGAAAAGATTCGTTTTCCCTATTTTAGAACTTCGAGTGTGTTAGACTCTTCTGAATTGTCAGAATAAGCCTTTCAGTCTTATATGGACTCTCTAGAGCTCTGTATGGTAAAGGTTGCTGCATCATTTTAATAGGTATTCCTGAAGGCACTCTGGGGAAGAGAATAGACTGTGAGCTGTGTCTGACCTATAAGCCATAAGTTGGCTGCTCTTAATCTAAACTAAAAATTTGATTTCAGTGTCGTTGTCAGCATTAACTAACATGACATGCAAAATTTTCTCCTGTTTCTTGAAGTGGTTATCCATATTGCTGTTTACGTGGCAGTTACATGTCATAACACTTGAGACCAAAGCCAATATGTTGTAGCTAGCATATCTGAGTATACCCATTCTGCAAACATCTTGATGAGTAGTATATAGTGCAGAGCATTCCTTACACCCTTCTTTCTTCTCAGTGGCTTCGGAAGAGGAAAGATCATTGTGTGTGAGAATCCTACCCTTGTTTTAATGCTAATTTTTATTATTTTGTCCTCCTTTTGTTTCTTACTCTTCTTGCAGTCCTTGAGCTGCTTGTGATCCTACTCTCTCCCTTTTAATACTACATTTTGTTCATGGGCACAGTAAAATGTTTTTTCCAGTCAAGGACCTTGTACCTTAGTAGAATTTGAATTTAGTGTTTTAAATGGATACTTGGGCTCAAAGCAACAAGTTCAGCATTGCATCTTTCTCTGAGGGTTTTGTTATTGCACTTGTCTTAAGGCAAAAGAAAACCAGGCCCTTACAGCAGAGAGGCTGTATAAGTGTTTTTTTCCATAGGTGGAGGTTTCCTTTCAGTGTGTTTCCAACGTGTCTCCAAGAGTGAACTCCAGTTTAATTTCATCTGGGAAACTGTGTTTATGCAGGATCAATTTCTTTCATATGATTCCAAAGATATCTGAGTGATTTGGAGGTGTTACCGTAGTCCGCACACTTGCACACTGATTGTGTAATGAGTTGTGTCAGAACCTGTTAGAAGACTGTTAGAAGCAAATGTGGGTCCACTAAGACCCCAGAGTATTTCCAGTGTACCTCAAGCTATATCTGTAAACTTGCTGAAAAAATGTTTCCATCCCCTGTACACTCAGGGGCAGCCATGTGAGCAGTCAAGCTTTCGCTCAGTACTAGAGACCTACCCAAATAACTGCACGGGAATACAGACTGAAGTTGGCCAAAGCAGCAGAGTGTAGTGTGGACAACTCTGGGAAGCCAACTACTTAGCATTACAAAATGGATAGTATTTGGGGGTTGGTGGTGGTGGTTTTGGTTTTTTTGGTGGGTTTTTTTTTGTTTTTTTGGTGGTTGTTGTTTTTGTTTGTTTGTTTGTTTAGATGTATCACTTATGTGTATTCATCCTTCATTGTCTATTTCTTGTAGTCCTGTTCACTTTTAGGAAATATTTTATTTTCTCAGTTTATGTAAAACTTTATATTCATACTGTTGTGCACAGGAGAATGGCGCGTGAACAAACTTCATGAGAGTTGTTAAGGGAAAAGTGTTGTGGATACTTGTGTGTTAAAATCTTTTAAGTGTGAGATAGATAACACGTTTCAAAGACTGTAGTGATTGGCAACTTCCTCTTCCATCAGCAAGTTACAAGGTTATGATTCTGATACTGCTAGGTATTTTTAGTGATTTGTCCTGCAGCTTGAATATCGCCTGTTATGAATTTCAGTTTTGCACAAAACAGTAGCAAAAAAAGCTCCCCTTTGTTAATATGTCTGTAAATTACTTATGCCTGACTCCTGTACAGGAATAAAAATGCTCCTTCAGGAGGCTGTACCTGAAATATGTAGCATAGTTTGAACCATTAACAGAAGCTTTTTTTTTTAACCTGAGCATCAGAAGATGCTTACCTGTGAAAAAAACAAATACCACAAAAGGTGTTTTCAGTTCTGCTTTAAATTCTAACGGAGAAGTGGAGCCAATTTACTGTAATTCCTTCTTGTGATATGCCACACTTGCAAGAATTATTGGCTTAGACATAATGAGTAATAATTTTAATTAAAACTCGGGCACTGGGTGCCGCAATTTGAGAAATGAAACTTTTTATTCTTTGTGATACTTAAATGGCATATGAAAACAACTATTGTTGGCCTGTATGTGTGCTCAGTCATTTTTATAACCTTTGTTTTTTGTTGTTCATCACAGACCTTCACTCCTCTAGTAGATAAGCTGGGTTTAGGCTCTGTGGTTCCAGTGGAGTTTCTTCTGGACAGACATTTACGTTTCCTGTCTGATGCCAGTGGATTACGTTTGTTTCAGGTATTTGAACTGTGTTCAGTTAGAATGCAAATTTAACTTTGTGCTGTGATTGTCAGATTAATGTGGTGGTTGTTTTGTTTTGTTTTGTTTTTTACTGTTCTACTTCCATATTCTTGTCTTCCTCCTTTCACTGCCCTGTCATGTATTTGCATTTGTGTCCCTGCTTTTGTGTCCCCCCTTTTACACTAACCTCCACCTGCATTTGAAAAGTTCTAGTTCCTCTCTGTATTGGTCAGTTGGAGAGCTAGCTGTCAAGCATCATGTAGCTAATTGCAATGGAAGTTTTGTAACAGCTTTTGTGTAGCTAGTCCTTTTTTTCTTTCTGGTAAGTTCAACAATGCTTTTCTTAATTTTACTTTTTTGTTTTGTTTTGTTTGTCAGTATAAGAGCAGTCCAAGAAGAGCTGTCCCTTAAAAACTTATGATTCTATTATCTTAAAAGACTATACTTTTATGTTAAAACTGTTTGTTGTTGGCAGATGGGAACAGAGAGTCAAAATCAGATTCTGCAGGAACAGCCGTCACTAAGAGAATCTGTCAATGCATTGATCAGTGACCAGAAGCTTCAGGAGATATTTAGTAGAGGTGAGACTGTGCTTTTCTATCTCAGAGCTACTTTGTTGTGGAACAGTTAGACTACGCTGGGATTTGTGAAAGAGCATAGTGGTAGTGTCTGTTACTGTTTGATTTGGAAAGTCAATTTTCTGTATTGTTTTACAAGTTCTTTACAAAGAAGTAGTATTTTGTCACAGATACGGGTAAGCAGTTGCTGAGGTACAACCAGAAATACCTACTGGGAATGATCACTGAAGATGTAGTTAAAGTAGGACAATGTATTTTTGATAACATCAATGTATTCACAGCTTCCCATACTTTAAGTCTTCGTTTTGAATTTTTAAAGCTTTGGTCCTGTTCTATGGTTCTGTTCTATAATTCTGGAAACTTAGAAGTGAAGTTACTCTGTAGTTGTTGATCTTCAAAAAATTTCTTTTGTTATGTCAAATTCAAATTTTGTCATTTTGATAATTAGTGAATTGTTAAAGTTGAAAATACGGTGTGGCTGTGGCTGCTAAGCATAGAGCTAATACCTTAACTGTTGTCTGGATTGTGTATTAGGGTTAAGCCTGATTGCAGCTTCTGTTGTCAGATTGGGGTCTTCTAGTTCAAGTGCTAAAACGATTTTCTATCCAGAGCTTGAGTTCATGGGCCAGGTGGCCACTGTAGACATAGACCACTGAATTACAATGATGTAATTCTTAATGTGGATTTGGTGCCTCTTAGTTAAATAAAATGTTTATTGATAAAAATGTTATGAGGACAATACTCATATGAGCAAGTGGCTTCAGAATTGTCCAGTTTGTAGCCTTCTTCTGAAGCACCTGGTTCTAGTTGTATTAGATACAGGCTGTTGGACTATGGGGTTTTTGGTGATCTAATATTAACTAAGTTCTTTTTGTCTGGACTTAGGGTAGGAGGAAAGCTCTGCATGCTGATGTGGAGAGTGAGGGCAGGGTCGGAGGAAACCTTTCTGTAGCTGATCCATTACCCATGTCACAGAACTAAGACTGGTTGGTTTAGAGACATTGGATACTTGTGCAATTATATTAAATTTTCCACAGTTACAAATATATGTTTCTATTCTGAACTGCATGCAGTTTATACTGGGATTGAATGCATCTGGACTGAGTTGGAATGCTATGACTGTCCACTGGATTGATGCTTCATAATTGCTGACACATAGGTTAAAGCAAAAGAATTTACTTAGCAAGGAGCCCCCATCTAGTTTGATTTTGTCAAAGGAGTGGATTTATTTTGATCTTTCAATTTTTTTTTAACTTGCAAACTGTATTAATTTCGTCTTTACAATAGTTTTGAGTTACAGTAATGAGGGCTTACTGATTTTTACAATAGAATACTTGGCTTATGCAGGATTTGCAGCAGAAGCCCTTGCTTTTCAATTTCTTTCCATCTGAAAGATGACACTTCAAGCCCTAATTATGTGCACAGACTTCTCTTCTATTGTGTGACCCTTAACTAGTATGACACAAAGCAGGTCTGGAAAATGTGCTCAAATTCCTTCTTTTCCAGGTCCTTACAGTGTTCAAGGCCAAAGAGTTAAGGTTTACCAACCAGAGGATGAAAATAGCTGGATCTGTGGTGTTGTGAGCCTTCAAGACCCAATAACTCGTCTTATGGAGGTGTCTGTGACTGAGGTAAAAATATGAAACACTGCTTTGGTGTTCCTGAAATACCATTCCTCAATATCTTGTGGAGAATCACAGCTTCAGCAAAACTTGTACTTTCGGTTCTTTGTTTTTTTGCTTTAAAAGATGAGTATCCATGTTGCAATTGGCAGATTTTTTTCTGTTATGATGACTTTCCACAACAAGTGATGATACACAGCCCACTTCTGTAAAATAAGCTGTAAGAACTTCTTTGGAAATGAACTCTATATGAAAAAGTATTGGAAGTGGCTTTCTGGACAGGAGAGAGTGCTGATGTACAGAAAGCTACCTTCTGGGTCTCTTACACTGTGTCTTCCTGTGCCTTCTCTCAGCTTTTATCTGACAGGCTGTACAAGTGGTTTGAAACAAGCGTAGCATAGAAAATGAAGTCTTAGTCTAAACAAAATTGACTGATGTATTTTAGCTTAGGCTGTTTACTTCTGCCCGGTTCCTATCAGTAAACCTAGTAAGTGTTGTAAACAGCACAGAAAATCTGTGCACTGCTAGAGTTACCTGGTTTGTATTATACGCTTCTGTGCGGTCTGACAGGTAGTTCAGTCTTACCAGCAGCCTGCTCCTAATGGCTTACTTTTTCAGGAGCAACTAGGAACAGGTCTGTGGTGCTGTGTGTAAATTACTGTAGCAGCAGAACTCTTTTTGGGTTTTTTGGGTCTCGACCCATGCCCTCTGCCCCTGTAGCCTTTTGTATGTGCAGTAAAATACATGTGCAGAATAAATGCACTGAAGGTGCCCAGTACGTCCTGTGTATGCATGCAGTAATTCTGCACTCTTCGCTACTAGATCTATTGCTGGTGCACAGGAGAAAAAGTATACTATGTACAGTAAATAATTATAGTACTTTGGAGAGGCATTGAAATTGTGGAGTATATGCTTTCAGCAGATAATGCGAGGAAGTGCACAACTTACTGTGTACGTACTGTGAAATAAAAAGGTAACATCCAAGCACAGTTACAGAGATTGAGTATTCATTGCTCCTTTTGGGGGGTTGCTGATAAGGTTAGTTAGCATAAATTGATCTGCTTCCTTCCATTAGTCTTTTCTACATCTAGCAGAGTGAATGTTCAGTGGGCTAGAACAATACTAATTCAAATTTAACAAGAGCTGTGTTTTAATGCAATGAATGCCTCTATAGATGCTCAGTAGAACAAATGTACAAGGAAACGGTGGTAGGAATCAAATCTGAAAGTTTTTGAAGTAGAGAAGGAGCAAAAGGATAGAAGGTAAACGGGAAGGCTGTAGTATTAATAAGGAAGTGGGACAGAAAGAAAATGCAAATTGGAGAGGGGTTGCAGAGTAACCCTGTGTTTAAGGTCTCTTATGTTGATACTATATACTCTGAATTAAAAACTAACCTTTTTTCTTCCTCCTATCTCCTCAATATCAATCTGCATAAAAATTAGAGTGGTGAAATAAAGTCGGTGGATCCTCGACTGATTCATGTGGTGATGGATAACACTTCTCCAAGCGAGGTACTGCAGCCGTTCAGGTCTTGTGTATACAAGTGTGCAATTTTATAAAGATTTAGATATAAAACATCTGCAATGTGGAAACAGCTGATAACTGATACTATGTTCAATGCAGGCTTTTGATAATGTAATTGGAAGAGGAAAATTTTCTTTACCAATAAGAGACAGTCATAACTTTCTTTAAACAATCTATTTTCTTTTCGTTCAGGCCTATTTTACTAAGTTCAGCATGGATCTTGGGGGCAGTCCAATAAACATGGTTGTGCTCCATTTTAAAGGGTAGCACTCTGATAAAGAATGTCTCTGTGCTCACTGCCTTTTTCTAACAGGATTACTCCGTGCTTCTTCACAGACCTTTTTAGACGTTTCTAAAAATTACCACCTGGCTTCTCTGAAGCAGGCTTCTATGCTTGTGGTATTTTATTGCTTCGATTGAGAGGTTCCATGATAACATTTGAACCTATGTTTTTACCCCTAGGTTAAAGGGCAAGCTATCTCCTGTAGTTAAATATTGTAGGCTTTGGGTAGTGGACAGAAAGTGTGCCCTTCAAAAGAACTGTGGGGATTTAGACTTGTATCAAAAATCAGTGTACAAATACTTCTCATACATTAGCAAGACTTATGTTGGAGTATGGCTGTGTTCCATGTTTCCTAAAATCTACCATGATATGGTATGTGCTACAGCAAAGTAGCTCAGCTAAAAATCTTACTGTGAAGACCCTATTCTAGTACAAAAAAAGACAAGACTGAACTTAGGCTTGTGTTCTTTGTTCACATAGTATCTTTCCTTACGTGTCTCAATTTGTGATTAAAAGAACTATTCCTAAGCTTAAGAGCAGTGTAATATATTCTTTGTTTTAACAGAAAAATGTTCTTTGAACAGGTATTTCTGATCTGTTTAGTGATTGCATGGTTTTGTCTATTACAGGGAGGGGGCCTAAAAGCAGCTAAATCATCTAAAGGGAAAAAGAAGAAAGAAAGTCTGGAGGGAAAGGATGGACGGAGGAGAAAAAACGCTTCAGATTCTGGGTGTGATCCTGCAACAAAGAAGCTAAAGGAGAGGGGTGAGGTGGATAGCAATGGTAGCGATGGAGGCGAGGCAAGCAGAGGTCCCTGGAAAGGATGCTCCAGTAGTGAAACAGGACTGGATCCAAGGGCCAAACAGTTGCCTTCATTCATTCCTCAGATTAATCGCAATATTCGCTTTGCCACTTACACCAAAGAGAATGGTCGAACACTAGTAGTCCAAGATGAGCCAGTTGGTGGTGACACACCATTGCCCTTCACTCCATTTTCCTCTGTGGCTGGACAAACATTACTAGTTGGATCTGGATGTAAAGAGGCAGGAAAATCACTGGAACAGGTTGGCCAAGGCACAGTGACTTCTGCAACTGCAGTTACTACAACTGCTTTGACACTAACAACTGTGAGAATCTCTGATACTAGTTTGCCAGCTGTTACTGGACAGGAGAAACTGAAAACAGGTCGATCTCAAGCCCAGGGAGAGGTGAGTAGCTCGTGATCCAGCATATTCAAGAAAGACATACATATTTGTAACAGGTGTTCTGCAACATATTCCTGTTATAAAGTGTGTCCATGGAATTGAGAAGACTACTTTTTCTCTGATGAATTCCTCCGCTCCCAAAGGAAGCCTTTCTATTATCTAAGAAGTGAAAAGAAAATATATTTGGTGGAGGGGTTCTAAGAGACAGCCTTTTAGCACTCTCATCTTTATTCAGCCTTAATCTGAGAAATGCAGTCTTAAAAGTCATTTTAAGCACTGTACTTAATGAACTTTGTTGTGTCATATGGAAGACAACCTACTTAATATCTCTTGTCTTTATATAAACAAATATGCATGAGACTGTGCACAGAGTTGAACATTTACTAAAAAAAAAAAAACAAACAAACCTCAAAACTAGAAAAACAATGAGGCTACATTTAGAGGACCTTCTATAGATGCCCAGCGTGTCTGTAACAACAGCTGTGGTAGCTCTGTAGTAGAAAAATGAGCCAGTTGCATCATATACTATATAGAGTTGAAAACAAAGAAATAATTAAAGATGAGATGGGTACCTTTAGAATAAATTTTAATAAAGAGCTCAATCTGGAAGCAGCTTGAAGACATTTTAGTTGTTTCTTTGTTTTCAAGGGGAAAAGTAGAAGGGAAACCCTGTTAAAAATGAAATAGAAGACTTAAATAATAAGTGAAATCTTATAAAAAATAAAACAAAAACAAAACCCTACTTTTAAGTAGAGCAAAAATTAAGAAACTTGTAGTCTACTGTATAAAAAAGTGAAAAAAATGGGCGATACATTAGAGAGTCCAAGGTGATTGCCAGGAGGTTAAATGGGTTACTTTCATCTATATCTTTTGTATAAGCTAATGGAACAGGGGGAAAGGTGAGATGTTTACCTTGGGATAAAGATTCCTAGATGCTAAGGAGTAAAGGAGAAATAGAATTGTGGAAGACAGGAGTGTTACATAATTAAATTGTTAAATAACAATATAACCTGTTCTCTCTTCCACCCCTGCCAAAAAAAACCCCAACACCAAACAAACAAAAAACAGAAGAAAGTTCAGAACGGGGAGCAGCTACAAATTGTATAGGTGAATGGTCAAAATAGTATCTATCATCAATGGTGTTAAGGAACAACTTTACTTGTGCTGAGAAATTTTGGTACCACCTCTCCTTCCCTCCCTCTCCCCAGCCCCAAATCACTTGCTTTAAATGATTATTAATAATCTAATCTGAAGGTAGACCACTAGTCCATTTCCAGCTGTATTTTCCTTGAGGGAGGAAACCTGACATAAATCCTTAAAGGAGGAGTCAGGAGTGTTGTAGATAGTTCACATGTGTGATTGCTTCAGACTGTCTATCATAGTGTTGATTTGGTCCTTGAAATTACTTAATAAGCTTGGTTTGCATTCATATTCACATGCTTTTTAAAAATGTTAGAACTTGGTTTGTGAAAATTACTTTGGCTCTAAAAAGAAATATCTGAAATTCTAATATCTGGAAGAAGTGTCATGGGGGCATTAATATGTTCTTAAAGTCATTACAGCTGGTGTTTGATAAAGAGGAACAAGCTAAACGTTAGTTTACAGTGTAGTAGGTGTGCAGTGACGCTAATGACCAGTAAGATGTGTTGTGTAGAGGCTGTGGTTATATTTTACATGGCCTTAGAATAAAAATGTATTAATCGTGAGTATTCTTCATGAGAAGATTTCCAAGTGGAAACTCAAAGAAGAGGAATAGAACTGATGAGTTAGTCACAGAATATAATCAGTTACAGTAGGACTGTGAGAACTGGAAAATCTGAATACGTGTAAATTGAGAAGAGAGCAAGTGAATATTCCATATCGCAGTTATGGGTCTAGTAGAAAACTGCATGTCAGAAAACTTCCCAGTATTTGAAGCTCACAAGAATTCAGGCCTTTGTGCTTAACCTCAATTGAGTAATCCCCTGGAAGGCACCGCTTCATAGGCATCTGTCTACCTGTCAGCAGATGTGGCTTACCATGACCGGGAACAGTTTGTTCAGTAACTGCTAGAGGGCTTGCTTTGTTTAATTAACTTTGCAAACTAAGTTAATTATTTCAAGGGTGCTGGTTAAGTAGGAGAAGCTTGTCAAGATGATCTTGGGGGAGGGTGAAAGACAGGACATTATTGAAAAGCAGTTTCAATTAAGGTTCCCTTCTTGCTGATTTGAATTAAAACAATCAGCAGTTTAAATAACTTGTGCTTCTGTGAGTTAGTTCACCTTATCTTGTGTCACACTTTTGTTCTAAAGCGTGATAAGACATTAAGTGTTAATTTTCTCCATGTGTCTTTAGTATATAATGGACGCTGTTAGCTCATTAGTTTCAATAGCTTGTAGGTAGGAAAAATTAGTCTAGCAGAATCTTTTAAAGAAGTTTCTTCATTGTAAATAATTCTGCTGAAAGTTTCTCTTGCAGGTGGATAAGTAGTAGTGTAAGGCTAATTGTACAATTAGGTGAACAAAAGTATTGCTGAATCAAACAAGAATCCTTTAAAAGACTAATGTTTTCTTAATTTTGTTTCAGAATTCCCGAAATTCACTTTTGGTGGCTTCTGGATTTGGAGTCTCTCTCCCAAGTGCTTCCCAGTCTTTGGTATTTGGGGGTGGAAGGAGCCAATCAAACGGAGTAGTGACTCCAGAAAACAAGCCTTCTGGATTTCCTTTTGGCTGTAGTACTGGACAAGAGGCTCAGAAAGACTCTGATGTGTCCAAAAACTTGTTTTTTCAATGCATGTCCCAAAATCTACCTTCCAGTAACTACTTCACAGTCATTTCAGAGAGCTTGACTGAAGATGCCTCTAGTCGGGACTCATTCAAGCAGTGTGCAGAGAGTATGGGTGCTGGAATCTGTAAAGGTAAAATTCTTTCAGCGGACACTAAACCAGGAGCCCAGTCTGGCAGTTCTGTGGAGCGGAAGCTGCCTGTGGAATCTATGCCTACCCTTACTCCAGCCTTTTCACGAAGTCTGTTGAATACTCGCCCCCCAGATAGTCATGAAAACCTATTTTTACAGCCCCCAAAGTTATCAAGAGAGGAACCCTCAAACCCTTTCCTGGCATTTGCTGAGAAAGTAGAACTTAGTCCTTTCAGTGGCTTTGCATCTTCATCTCAGACAGGGGTTTCTACTCCCTCTACACCTGTGGGTCATAAAGCCATTTCTGGCTGGCCGGAATCACTCGCCTCTGCAGACTCTTCTCTAGCTAAGAAGAAAACCTTGTTTATAACAACTGACTCATCAAAGATGATTTCCAGCAGTTCTGGTTCGACAGTCGTTGCTGGTGTTCAGAGCCCTTCCACTGTAGGGAATGGCCGTTCCAGCTCACCGACCAGCAACCTGACACAGCCTATTGAGATGCCCACACTTTCTTCCAGCCCAACAGAAGAAAAACCAGCTGTTGGGCCTGGGCAGCAGGACAATCCTCTTCTGAAAAATTTTTCCAGCGTGTTTGGCAGACATCCACCTGGCTTTTTCTCTTCACAGGCAGAGTTTTCACAGGAGAACAAAGCCCCTTTTGAAGCTGTGAAAAGGTTCTCTCTAGATGAGCGAAGCTTGACATCCAAACAGGACTCAGACTCCAGTACTAATAGTGACTTGTCAGATTTGAGTGACTCTGAAGACCAGTTGCAGGCCAAGGCTTGTATGAAGGGAATCCCAGACCACTTGATGGCAAAGCTAGGCCCCAATGCAGAGCACAATGCTGAATTGCTGCTGGGGAAGGGAAAAGGGAAGCAAGCCCCAAAGGGCCGGCCTCGCACAGCTCCCCTAAAAGGTGATGACTTGAATGCAGGGTGTCTTGGAAGCACAAGGAGGTGGGATACTGGGATATCTCCTGTGTGGTGAACTATGTGAACTAACCACAGGTGTAAACTCATTTATGCTCAACAGGCAGCACAGAGGATATTTACAAGGCTAAAGTTTAATGCTTCTTGTGTGTGAATTAACATGTTCACTTTGAGAAATGTAAAAGCATATATTTGTCAGGACAAAAGTGTGGTATGCTGCAGACTTGAACAGTCTCACTGATTTTGTGCATAGGTATGAGCATACAGGTCTCTGAAAATATGTTTATTGGGGCCAGTATCCTTTTGCTATTGCAGTTTACTAATGGATTTTTTGCTTCTACTTTGCCTCACCCAGTTGGCCAGTCTGTGCTGAAAGATATGAGTAAGGTGAGGAAGCTGAAGCAGTCAGGTGAGCCTTTTCTCCAGGATGGCTCTTGCATCAATGTAGCTCCACATCTGCACAAGTGCCGGGAGTGCCGTCTGGAGCGGTACCGCAAATTTAAGGAGCAAGAGCAGGATGACTCAACTGTGGCATGTCGCTTCTTCCATTTCCGGAGGTGCTCAAATTCTTCCTTCCTTCATATCTAGTCTATGTGCAGAGCTTGGATCATGTCCAAGCACAAAGTAATTACGTTTTACTTATTTAATGTGCTCGTGTACAATAATGAAGATTTTGAGTGTCTTGCGTTTCCCTGCATCGTCTGACTGGAATTCCCTCATTGGGGTGGGAAGAGCTGCTGATGGAAGATAGAGCTATATGATACTAAGTGAGCCTCCAAGTCTAGCCTCAGGAGATTGAACTTGCATTATTGGGGAGAATTTTACTGTTGGTTAGCAGTTTGTATGTAATAACTGTTCTCTCCCCCTTTCATAAGGAGTTCGGAGGTAAAGTTTTCATTTGGTCAACAAGTAACTAAACGTTGCCAGCGTGAGGCTAATATTTGACTAGGTTTTGTTGAGTACAGAACTGATTTTTAGGAGTAGAACACTGCCTGTGTTTTCTCGGTGTTGTGTACACGTCTTACGGTTCTTTGGCCTGTCATACTTCTCTTCATCTTTATTATTCATCTTCATCTGCCTATTCTAGCAAGTGCTATGCATCTTTTTCCAAAAAGATGTTTGTTCATTTTCTGGCATATAAAGGATGAAGTGAATTTTTAGTATGTGCTACCCAGCCAGTAAGGCTAATAGCTGATTCTCTTCCTGAACTTGTTAAAAATTAATCTAGCACTGAGGTTAAAGACAAGATTGTTTTTGCTTGAAAATGGAGTTACCTTCAGTATTGGCAGGAGACATTCAGGGTTCTGTAACTTACATTGTTATACCTTGTGCCACACAAAGACTAAGAGGGTCAACAGCTACTGATAAAGCAGTTGTGACTCATCTCTGTGGAGAGCAGTGGCAAGAATAGTAGGTACGATAAGGATTTTTGTGTGTCTTGTAATATGAACTGTTAGAACAGTTGCCAAGTGCTAGCGGCCCTAGCCAGAACTGAAATACTGGTTTCCCCAAACTTGGGAAATAACTTGCTTCTGAGTTAAAACAGAGAATGAGAACCATGCACAGTTTTACAAGCAAAATCATGCAGCAGCCCAAATAAATTGAATTTTGTCATCACTCTTTATTAATAGTACAGAGAAATGTGACTTACCAAGCTGTAGCAATTTCCTGTATGTGGAATTTCCCACCAATGCTTACTGGGTCCTGGGGATTCATTCTAGTGGGTTTTGTGGCCATTGCCTTCGTGTATCTTATTTTCTGTTTTATTTGTATTTGTGTAATAATTGTACTGGCTGTAGAGTATAGCACTCTAGCTCAAGCCTTTTTTCCCCCATTTCTGGGTTTATGTCCTTAAATTGATGGCATTGTAAGTTAAAGGTGGTTGAGCAGCTTCTCAATTACTCCGTCCTGTTTTCTGCAGGCTGATATTTACCCGGAAAGGTATTCTACGAGTAGAGGGTTTCCTGAACCCACAACAGAGTGACCCTGATGCCATGAGCCTATGGATTCCTTCCTCCTCCCCTGCAGAGGGGATTGATCTGGAAACTTCCAAATATATCTTGGCCAATGTTGGGGACCAGTTCTGCCAGCTTGTTATGTCAGAAAAGGAGGCAATGATGATGGTGGAGCCACATCGTAAGCTGGGCTTTTGATGTCTCTTTTATCCATTTTCTCTGTGTAATATGTGTACAATGCAGTGGAATAGAGTTGAAAGTGTAATATAATTTCTTGTTAAAATTCTTTGCCTTTTCTTCGCAAGAGAAGGCTATATTCACTTCTTTGGGGGGTGTGTAACTGTGGGGCCAGCATTTGGGACTTTTCTTGTGGATTGGTGCAACATTACTACCAAGGAAGCTAACAGTAACTTTCCCAGCCTTCATTACATTATTTTTCAATAAATGCAGAAATGATCGGAGTCATGCTCCTAATAAAATAGAAGTAAGTCCAGAACTCTTATCACACTGACCAGCTATGCTTTAACGAGCAGCTTTTCTTACATATTCCTATCCTGTTATGCTCCAGGGACATTGCATAAAAGCTCAGGGTTTTCTAGGGAGGGAGCAGCACCTGCATTCAGCCTGCAAGGACTCAGCTGAGCAACTAGTTGACAGTGTTGCCAGTACAAGGGGAGTGGGTTTAGAAAAATTTTCTAAAGGTATCCGGTTCAGCCTATCACATAGATAGCTCTGACTATCTGATTTTTCGCTTTAGCTTCTGGAATGTTGAAGGGCAGCCATTTGGAGAGGACTTCCCCTTCCTCAGCGAATGTGTTGGTTTAGAATCCAAAGAGTTTAAAGGCATGCGATTAGTAAAACTAAATATGCATTCTTTATAGTTTTTTAAGTTCGTATTATTTGTTCATAAAGCTAGCAGAAGTTTTATAATTTTTATGTAAGTTCCATAAGTACTCCTTGAAATTCAGTTACTGTAGAACTCTGTAAGGTGCTCCATTTCCTTGTAGCGTATGCATTTTGGGACTTCACCTTACCCTGTCTTAGAAATGGGGATTTTAAATAGTGTCACAAGACTAGCAACTCAAAGAATGTGTCTCTGGATATAAAAAGTATGTGTTTCTATTCTCTGCCCTCAAGTCATGTTTCTGTGGATTGTTTCTTTATTGATGTTACTGTGATATTCTCAAATTAGGTGGGAGAAATGCAAATGTCAAAGCAATAATTCCTAATGTCTGCTCTGTTTATAGAGAAAGTGGCATGGAAGCGAGCAGTACGTGGTGTGAGAGAAATGTGTGATGTATGTGAGACAACACTCTTCAATATTCATTGGGTTTGTCGCAAGTGTGGTTTTGGGGTCTGTCTGGACTGTTACCGGCTGAGGAAGAATCGCCCACGTAGCGGTAAGTACTGGATTTTCCCCTTCTCCCCCCTGCTGTAATCTGTGAATTGGCTGGCTTTCAGTGGGGATAGTTTCTGGGAAGTTACTGAAGGTTTTGTGGGAGAGTTAGGGAGGTTGGAGGTTTGGAATTTTGGCACTACTGTCTTATATGCTGCTGTTCCATTCTTCGTTTCCTTAGGTACCTGTGTTTTATCTATTTGGTTAGAATTAGTATATTAAAATTATAACATCAGCAGGCATAGGCTGTCTGCTGAGACAGACTACTGTAGAGTTCCATCTTTTCCTCGGAGGGTATAAAGGAAAAATACAGTAATATCTTAACAGTTCAGAAACTTTGCAAGATGAACTAGTAAGCAGACATTGCAGAGAGCTCCTTTCTCTAAGAAGGAGTTAGCCTGGAAAGTTTTCTTCTTTTTTTGATTCCTTGACACACTAGGGCTTATAATTCCGGAAAAAGTTCACCAAGTTCAATTTCTAACAAATAGAGGCACACTGTGTTTACAAAAGTGAATGCCTGGTTGCTTTTTCGTATCCTTTACTGTATTGAGACTGACAGTGGACAATCTTAATAAGTTCAGGGCTAGTAGTGGCAGTTATTATATGGAGCAGATGTACAAAATACTGGATGTTAATAAGTGTATATTGTGATAAAGGCGTCAGAGAACACTGAATGAATTATAGAAGCAATGTTTTTGTGTTTTTTTTTAAATAGATACAAAGTCGCTTATTTTTATGTTGTTGTTGTGGGTTAACCCCAGTAGGCAGCTAAGTGCCATGCAGCCACTTGCTCACTCCCCCATGGCACTGGGACTGGGGGAAGAGGAAAGGAAGAATAAAAGTAAGAGAAGTTGTGGGTCAAGATAAAAATAGTTTAATAAGTGAAGGAGAAATAGAAAAAGAGAAAAAGAAAACAAAACAAAGCAAGTGATGCAAAGGCAATCACTTGCCACCTCTCACGGGTAGACCATGCCCCAGAGGCTTCCCAAGCAAAAGATGACTAGCCCCCTTAAACTCCCTCCCTTGTGCTTTTTATTGCTGAGTGTGACATTGTGTGTCATGGAACATCCCGTTGCTTCGTGTGGGTCATCCAGTTGGTAGTGTTCTGTCCCAACCTCTTGTGCGCCCCCAATCTTTTCACTGGCAGAGGTGGGTAAGAGTGAGGAACAGAAGACGTGGACACTGTGCAAACACTGTTCAGTAATAGCTAAAACATTAGTGTGTTATCAGCATTGTTCTGGTCACAGGGCTAAAACACAGCATCACATGAGCTGATATGAATAAAATTAACTCCATCCCAGCCAGACCCAGTGTAATAATGAAACCTGTGAAATTACTGCCAGAATACACCAGGAGAGGATATAACAATCTTTAAGATGTGGTTAACCAGGGTACAGTGGAAATAGTGGAAAGTAAGTAAAATAGGTTTTCTTGTGTCTGGCACCATACATGTTTGGAAAAAGCATTTGAAACTGAATATATCACTGACAGAATGTGCTATAAAGATGTCTATGATTCAAGGGCAATAGTTTCTTAACCCCTTTTTTTAACCCTTTTTCTTAACCCCTTTCTTAACCTCTTTTCACATCAAGGAAATAAATGTGATAACCTTCCCTGTGCCGGGTTAAAATGAAGAGATGTTCCTGGCATATGAGAAGTTTTTACTCACTGGTGTACAGAGGAGCGTCAGCATTGAAAAGACTGATATTTTGTAATGCCCAATGATGGGTGTGTGCGTGCGTGTGTGTGTATATTGCTTATCAATGATATCTCCTTGAAAACAGTATTATAATTATGGATTATTAATCAAATCTGGAATTTTGGAATGGGCCAAAATGTAGAACCAAGACATTACTTAAATACAATTACTTGCCTCAGGAGACTTCTGAACTTTGCTGTAGAAACAACCCATGCAGATACTAGGTCTAAAGGACCCTGAAATGAAGCTTCATATGTTCTTTCTCATATTCTACCCCACTGACCCTTTGCCCCTACCTTCCTTTTTAAAGGAAGAGAATGGCATGCAGCCTATGCAGCTACATATTTGTAGGCCCAATTTCGTTTAAAATCTGAAGAATTAGAAATTTGTCAGACTGCTTTCCAGGCTATTAATTTGCTACTTGTTAGCTTTGTAAGTAGATATACTGACAGGAGAGCTTAGTTTCCTCTTCCTGGAACTAATCTGCAGATACTTTTTGTTGAAAAAGCTTGGGAGGTAATGACAAGAAAAGATAGAATTACTCTGTAACGTAGGAAAGCATAATGACAACAAGAATATGATATTCAAAAACTGAGGCTAGAAGCCAAGAATTTTAGATCATTGAAAGTAACAAGCTACTAGACATGAAGGGGAAATGACTGTGGTAGATTTATAATCTGAAGAGGCAAAGATGTTGCTGTAGATCCTGTTCTAATTATCTGTATTTAGAGTTTATTTCTAAGACCACCAGATTAATCTCCTGCACTGTGAAGAATCTAAAGAAACAGTACAGATGCAGAAACATTCTGTATTGTAAAGTTTTAGTGACTTTTCTACAAAATTTTACCTTTTTTGGGGTCTTTATTCCAGAGACAGAGGAGATTGGTGATGAGGAAGTCTTCTCATGGCTGAAATGTGCAAAGGGTCAGTCTCATGAACCAGAGAATCTTATGCCAACACAGATCATTCCTGGTACAGGTAATGCTTGAAAACTGAAAGGAAAAATTCCAAATTTTTTCTCAATTCTGAGCAAGCAAGTAGAAAAAATACTAGGTTGGTGTTCTAGCTGTTACCTTTTCTAGCATGGATTTAGAGGAGACTTCGACTTGCTACAGCGGAAGGGTTGAACAGAAGGTATCTCAAGTAAGATCAAGCTGTGGGTTTGAAGTGAACACCCTTGTGATACTAGCTGTGACTTCTTGTGCTCAGCTGTTTTTAGTTGTATCAGTAAATTTGGTTAACTTGAAAGAAAGATCTTTCCCTCTTCTGTTGGAGGGAGGGAAAGTAAATAGTGTGACCATTTACTTGTCTGTTTATGTAACTGGTTCTAAAAATCATAGAATCATAGAATAGTTTGAGTTGGAAGAGACCTTTAAATATCACCTAGTCCAGCCTCACTGCCATGGGCGGGGACATCTTCCAC